GGGGCTGTTCTCTGCTTTATCCTGATCAATTCAATCATTAAGTGAACTCATGAATCAGAGCGCGGTCACAGATTATACTGATGCAACTGGATGAACTCCACAGCTGCACTGCAGTACCACCATAACTCACTCAGTAAAACCAGCAATAACCAGATACTGTGGCAGTGTACACATACAGTCTGGTTCACTATCCTTGTGATTCAGGTTTAAGTCCCCACCAGTATAGAAAAACCTGTACACACACACACGGTTTAAAAGTGGTCCAAATAACTTGTCTTGTTAACTAAAACTATTACAAATTGTTTTTGGCAATAGCAATAAAAACAGATATAAAATATAAATATTGGATGAAAAACAAACCGAAAATCTAGTTCGAAATGTTGCCTTGGCAACTAAATGAATTAAAATGAGTTGAAGTAGAAAATTTTAAACAAACTAAATAAAAAAAAAAATTAAAGCCATATGGAAATATATATATATAAAAAATATAATCATAAAATAAAATTAAAATGCAAATATTAAGACATTAATAGTACAATAGTATTACTAAAATATCGCTAATTGATAACAGAAAAAAGATACATTTCCAAAAGGTTTAAAAAAATAAAGACAAAAGCACATAAAAATTCAAACTATACTGAAAATCTAAGTACAAGAGCTAATTCAACAAATACATAATACTAAAATAAATACTTTGGTATATTCCAAATGAGATTTGAGAGCTGCAGCAGAGAAGATTTTCAGTGATTTACAATTAAATGAGAACATATCGCACACATTTTAAGGACATACAGGTTTAGAATGACATTAGAGAAAGTAAATAAAGACAGCATGTTCTGTTCCGGGTTTCTGTTGATTAGCTTATAGACTTTAAGACCCCAGTGGATAAAACAAGGGCACCAGCAGGAAATCTACTTTACATTTAAATGTTATGCAAGATTCTTATATCTTCATGTTGGGAAAGGGAAAAAAAGTCACTCTGCAATGCATATAAAAAAAAAAAAAAACTGTTGCATAAAGCATCATGTTCAATGGGCACAGTGGTTTAATGCTTTAGCTTGACTCAAGCATGCATTAAATGTTGATGTAATGGTGAAAAATCCTGATAATCCTTAAAACATTCATCTGCTTTTTGTCCAGCATTTAGATACATAGAATGCATAACCAAGCAAATTTAAAACCATCCAAAATAGATGAAAAAAAACCAATGCATTTCGAGTAGACTGATACAAATGAGACCTGGAGATAGAGAAAGTTTGACCAAAAGCACTTTATTATTAAGTCAAAAGTTTTATATGCAACTATTTATGAACTCTTGGGAGCCCTGGAGCGCTTCTTCTTCACCACCACAGGCTTCTGACTCCTCAGGATGGCGCTGACGCGTCTCAGAGCAGCCTGGAGGACAGAGACAGAGCAGTCATCTACTGAACAAGTGCATCAACTCCATACTTGATTTTAAAGAACCTGCATGATTTCAAAACATACTGCGTCAACTTAAAGAGCTGTAAAGCTTTTAAGAATTACATATAAACACCAAACTGAAAGTTTAAAACTGTTTCCAAAATGTGTCCCATTACAAATGACTAAAGTAAACTGTAAAATGTGTTTCAGAAGAGGGTTGATGTCAGATCTGCATGCGTGAACTCACCATGCGCAGATCCTTCCTGTATTTATTTTTGCGGATGATGTTCCTCACGCTGGCGAGGGTGGCGCGAGAGTTCTTGTTGATGGTGATCTTCTCATATGAGGTGGCAGGTTTACACTGACCTGGAACACATGCAACCTTTTAACATTTAAAGAGCGCCAGCAGACGTTTAAAAACAGATTCAGAGCAGAGACATCTAGATTAATGGCTGATTTCAGAAAGAAATCACATTGCCTTGTCATCCTCTGGCTTGAGACCTACAGCATCTGATTGTAAATGTGCAACCTTATGGCATCCTAAATATATGCAACCTAAATTCACTGAGCTTCGATGGTGTGTACAAATTTGAACCCCTGAACCTCCAAGTGTCAATTTTGTCCACTCACCTGCACGTTTCTTCAGGATGACGACCACACCTTTGCCATCAGCGGCCGGCTCGATGCCCACAGTCTTGCGGTGAATGAGACCATTGAAGCGGAAAGCATTCCTGGCCTTCAGGTTATTTGGCTCCTGGAAAAGAGGAAGAATATTTGAGATCAGAAAGCAAATTATTTTCAGTCAAATTAGCAATACAGAGGGATAACTACAGCAAAGTTCTTAACTAGATGATCGGAAATCTGTTCAGACAGGGTAAAAAAAATAATAAAATAAAATAAAGTATAACAAAGCAAGACTTTATTTTTAACCAAGGTTATTTTAGTGAAAATTGGTGTCCCTTGGTACAAGTTAGTTAGTAAGCTAGCAAATCATACTTTTTATGCATATTCAAAAGTGTCAGTTTTCCTCAGTATACTGGAACACAGCAGCTCACGAACAGCAACTTAAGCATCTGAGAGATAAACCCTGAAGCAGAAACACTAGATTACAACCACATATGATTGGAAAAGAATTCTCTCGTTTTCTGAACCCTGCTTAATCGAAGCCTGCATCCATTCTCTCGAATCAGTATTTCTGCCTGCAACACCAGCTTATTGATGTGTGCATTAAATATAACCCAGTAAAGCCGTGTCTCATCACCAGTGTCTTCAGTGTAGCTGAACAGCAGTGACTTACGGTGCTGTAGGTCTGCTTATTCCTCTTGATAAGGAAACTGGAGGTGTTCCTGATGATCATCCACTGCAGGTGAGGCGATGCCATGATGACCGTCCTGAACCCATGAAACAAGGCAACACATGTTATATATACAGATCATCCTCAATAACAGACAGTTCACATCAAACGCATATCCACAGCAAACGGCACCTTCATATATTAACGTTATATCCATAGCAAACTGCACCGTAATATATTATTTACAGAACAATTTATAATAAACTGTCATAAATTTATTCTTCACTATTCTCCTACACGTTTTTGTTCTCTAATGTTATATTTTTGTTGAAATTGACGTTTTGCAAATTCAAAATAACCATGAATTTCATTAAATAGACACACACACACACACATATACATATATATATATATATATAAAAAACATACAGACAAATAAATAGAATTTGTGTCCGTGATCCTGTCAAATCACCAACTCAAAGACCCTCATACAAAACCAGAGCTGTAAAATGACACACAAACCTCCTTAGTAGCATAAGTAACGCTCTGAGTAAATCCAAACTTTATCGAACAGTCTAGACTGGTTTTCACCCTATCTAGTGTTAGCAGTGCGGTGCTCGTCTCTCACTCACTGAAGGCCTCGCTAAGCAACAACGGCAGCGTTTATTAATGAAATATCCTCCTTTTTATTGTCACTACACCAAGTGGTGTAGCTCATAAGCAATTTGTAACATTCGACGCAGATATATACCCGTTTAATGCTGAAATGTGCGTTATAAAGCGTATAATCGAACGTTGAAAAGCAACACAAGACGACCACGTTACCTTTTCAGCAGCGGAAAAGCGATGGAAAGGAATGAGTTCCAGTTCCGGTGGAGCTCTCGTACTTTCTTACGCCTCTGTGTTGAGGATTAGTAACTTAGTCATTTACCTTCTTTTTCAGACTGAAGAAAAAAAAATGAAAATATGTTACAGATGTCTTTTCAAATAGTTTTTAGAAATGTATTTAGAAATCCTTCGTTAAATATATATTTTAAGCAGGACTATATGTTTGATGTACAGTGCGGACGGGGACGAATAGCGCAGCCGTCAGTGGTGCAGCTGGTGTACGTCACGCCCTCTGTGTGTTCTACGTCATGTTCATGCGTCCTCTAACCACAACAACAACCCAGCTCTGATGCCTGCTGTAAATACATTATTATGATTCCTATTCAACCTCATTGAGGACAGTTAGATCATATAAATGACGGCGGAGTATAGACAGATGATATTGTAATTCGTATGATTAAATAAGCAGGTAATGCTGCAGTGATGGAGAATGATGAAGATCTGGAGACTCTGGGAGAGAAACTGTATGATCTGATATACCCTAAATACACTGAGATGACACCTAAACTTACAGGTGACACAGAATCTATCTATCTATCTATCTATCTAATATTGTGATGATTTTAGTTTAAGTTGAGCTGTGTGATGTTTGCAGGTATGTTGTTGGAGCTGCCGGGTTCTGTTGTATCTCAGATGTTGTATGATGAAGCTCTGCTGAATAAAGCACTGGAAAGAGCACTGACCGCTCTCACATCATCCGACAACAGGTATCACACTGATTTTTATTTTTGTACAAAATTGAACATAAAATGCAAAGTACTGGACACAAATCTCAGAATAGAGCATGCAATGTAGTGACATCACAGGACAACAATGTAGGATACAACTACTTAAAATGTTTCTTGAAAAGACATTTATTTTGGAGAAAAACAGTAGTAGGCAGTACATAATATAAGCTCTGTCGTATTCTCTTCCCAGTGACCCTGTGTCTCACACTGATGATGCGGTGTCTGTGTCCTCCGACTCTCTGGGTGAACAGCTGTTTGACCTCATTGACCTCTACAACACTGGACACACACAGAAAATAACAGGTACATTTACTGACACGCTGCAAAAACACCAAAGGAGGGAATTCAAAGTCTGTTGGAATAGTTACGTTACTTTGACAACTATACAGGCATGTTATTGGAGCAGAAGAAGGAGGCGGTGCTTCAGCTGCTATCGGATCATTCGCTCCTCGAGGAACAAGTCAAGATCGCCTTGAAAACCTTGCAGGAGTAGGTGCTTTTGGATTTTTTAACAGCGGCGTTGAAAAATCAGGATTAGGCATAAAATAATATCTTCTGAATCATTCCTACTTGTGAAAACGGGCTGAGAATTGAACAAACAGTTGTAATCTGCTCAGATTCAGACAGGAGTCATGTCTGTGTGTCAGTTA